CTACGAAAAAATTTCTACACACCGGGCGAGACACAACGACGACGAACCCGTTTGGGAGAGGGTATCGGCTTAACGATTTACAAAATATACAACAGATAAAAATATGAACAATATTAGAGTTATACAGGTATGGACAGTGGTGGCCAGTGTATGTGTCATATAGGGAACGATTGTTAAACTGATAAAGAATATTGTGTGTATAGCGTTCACCTTGACAGCAACAGTACAGTTTTCTGATTACACGGCCGGATATAACGTACGCGCGCCCATTAGCAAAGCAAAACAGTAATCTATCAATATCATAAAATTCACATTTTGTCACGTTACAATAGCGTGAAAACATTCAGTCTTAAAGTGAAATGATTACACATATATGTCATTAGGATTTAAAACAGATGCCTTTGTAAAAATATATGAGGGCCAAATCTCTGAAGAGGGAGGCCGCGTCATCCGTCGACCTACCCCTCCTGAAACCGAACTGGCCCTCAGCCAGCCCGCCGACTTCGGCCAGGTGGACCTCGATACGGTTGACGAGCAGGCGCTCGTGGATCTTCCCCAAGTCGTTCAACATGCAGAGCGTTCGGTACGACGATGGGAGACCCTCGGGCTTGTCACCCTTCCTCAGAAGCAGCAACCTGACCTTCTTCCACCTCGAGGGGAATTCACCATCAAGGAGGCAACGATTCACGGCGGCGCGTATCCAATCCGGAGCGAGGTCGTTTACCAACCCCCACACCTGGTTTGGAATATTTATACTTGTCCCCATCTGATATAATTTTTAAAGTAATAATATAATTTAACATTTTTTTATTATTTTCATCTAAAGAATTTAATAACGTTTCCTTGTACTTAATCACTAGAATGTCATTTGTCTTAAATAAAGCATTTAATTTTTTATGAAGCTCTTCAATTAAACTTTTTTGTTTACTTATTTTAGAGTCGAAATCAATATTTTTTGTTGAATTGCAAATAATTTCACCATTACTATATATATTTAAATGATGTTCACTTAACTCTCGAAAAATTTGATCGAATTTATTTATGTAATACTCTAATGTTTTTTTTTCCAAATTGAATTGTTTTTGCACATTCAATAAGATTTTTATAAAATTTTCTTTCATTGTGCAACTTTCAAGTTTTTGTTCTTTATAACTTATTTCCAATGCATCATATTCAATTATTATATCATTTAATCGCTTTTTGTATTTATCAATTTGTTTTTCTCTATATCTTAACATTTTTTTATCGTTTATATAATAATTCATTTTTTTTTGTAATTTAATGTTATCTTTCTTATTTTTTTCTAAAAAATCTTTTAGTTGTTCATTATGTTTTTCAAGAAATTTAAGATGTTTGTCTGATGAATTATTTTTGACATTTATCGTTTCTAATTTTCTTTTTAAACAACTTATAAGTGATTGGTTGCTAATAGTAATTTCTTGATAAAATGTATGCATATCTTCAAATTCATTCTTATGTTGTTCTAAAAGTAATTTTATTTGTTTTTCTTTTATATTTTCTATTTGTGCCAACTCAATTTCATTTTTTTTTGTAATTTTTTCAATTATATAGTTTCGTTGTTTTTCTATACGATCCATTATTTGAGACATTTGACATTCCATCCATTTCGTTTTATCTTTTAATGCTTCAATATGTTTGATTTTTAATGTTTTTATTTGATTTGTATGTTGGATATTATTTTGAAGTATTTTTTCTTTTAGTGATGTATTAATATTGAATAAATCAGTAATTTGTTGGTCACAATCTAATGCTATACATTTTAAAATTTGTGTATTTTCAGACTGAACCTTATTTAGATTGATATTATGTTCATAGATTAGTTGAAGTCTTTGTTGCCGATTTTTTTTTTCAACTTTGTCGATCTTTTGAAAATTTTCTTCTGCAATATTTTGCATTAAATTCATATCTGATGCCAGTGAAACCAAATTTTTTTTAGTTATATCCCAAAATATTTGCAATTGGTCTCTTTCAATTTGATATATTGATCTATTTTGGCGTTCCTGTAATAACTCATCATATAATTTTTGTGTGAAGTCCAGTAGAGAAGTGTGTCCCAGTTCAGCTATGTTAATATTATCAATTATTATGTTTTGTTTTTTCAATATTTTATTCATATTTTACTTCTATAGTTGAATTCACAATAATAGAATAAAAATTGGTGTATAATGCCTTTTAATTTATTTATAAAATTTGTTATTTTATGTTAATTAGTCGCATTGTTTTTTTTCACTATTGCAAAATATACAAAAATTTTTGTATTTTAATATTATAATTAGAAGTTTAAAAATTTTAAATCAGACATATCAAAATAACAACATAATAAATTTGTAACTTAGTAGCTAAAAAAACAATATCCATTTGTTAAAATTTGCTAAGTGACATTTTAAAAATTAATTAATAAGCTAACCTTAATAATATCAATAGTAACATTGCACTGATTACTTATTTTATAAATATATGAAATTATACGTATAATTTTTTTGAATACCTGATTAATAACCTGTCTACAGTGGTGGATTCAGAATAACAACTTTTTTTTATGAAAAACCCAACCAATGGGTTGGGCCCCATAGTCTGTTAAGGCAACTACCTAGGTGAAGGTAATATTGAAAACAAATCCCCTGGCAACAGGTAAAACGCAGGTTCCGTTACCATCACACGTGCGCTTCGCCTGCTATGCGGACGACTCATTGGTGGCAGTGGAAGGCACCTCGTCCGAGGAGGCTGGATTTCGTGCAAACTGCGCGCTTAGAACAATCACTGCCTGGATCCAGCAGGAGGGGAGTGGACTGATCCTCACCCTGGATGAGACCGAAGCGGTCTTGTTCACGGACAGGTACAAGTTCACTCCTCCACGGCTCGCCGTGCTGGGGGTGGAGATCCTGCTTAAGGACTCGATGACTTATTTGGGCCTTGTCATAGACAAACGTCTAAAGTTCAGGCCGCACATTACTCGTGCGGGCTTAGAAAATTATATACAGGCTGGTGGTACTCATGCCCAATCTAGGAGGGCCGAGGGAGATGTGACGTTGATTCTTAGTCAGTAGAGCACACTCGGTCCTTCTGTATGAGTCCTCGGTTTGTTCGTATACTTTCGAGTATTTGTCCAAAAACTGAGAAGTTCTGTTTTGGGTACTGAGGCGGGCGACGATCTGAACAATTTCAGCGTACCGAACGTTGTCCGGAGTGGCGGCTGGTATCCTGTCGTCACTGCCGCCCACCGACCTGCTCGCCGAGAAACGCCCCGCCGGGCATGAGCTCCGCCGTGAACGCGGCCGGGTACTCGAGGCAGTACCTCTCCTATCTTCGATTTCAGAAAAAAAAAACGGTTCACGCCCAAGATAGATGAAAGATCTGATAGAGCTGGCTAGCAACTTTAGAGAAATTTTCTCTGGAACGGCTGGCCGAAGAAAAGAAGTATTTCACCGAAGAGAATAGCTTCAAATAAGAAACCGCCACCGAGGAAAGAGGTTGTTAAACCGGAAATAACCGGTCTGTAGCAGCACGATGCTACAACTGTAACTGAACTGTGGGAGAGAAATACGGCGACAACGGAATATGGGAAACCGGACAAGAAAAGCTAGATCGCCCAAAATACCATAAGCGCTTGGTTTATTGTTTGATACTGAAGTTTCCAACCAGGAACCCAAAAATGCGACGGAAAAGGGGAGTGTTTACGGAAGAAATGTACGGTAAAGAGAGAAGTTTCGGAAATATTGGAGAGTAGTGCAAAACTTTGACCAAGGATTACAAGCAGCTCTCTCCGAGAATAGTTTGCCGAATAAATCCCTGGAAGATTCGGAACAAGACCTAATAACGCGTGAGCTGTTAACTGTCCCGCAGTATTTCCTGGTAAAACTTCCGAAGAAGTTGACTTTCACTGGTATCACTCAGAACCGAAGAAAATCAGACACAGATTCACTTAATAACTTCCGGTCTGACCCGTAAACTTGTTTACCGGAAAACTTTTCCCAAAGAACAAGGTTATCATTCAACGTCCGACCAGGAGCCAAATCGTAATGAATCAACAGAGAAAAACTTTGTGGGAAATATTTCACAAGGTATCACGACCTCTTCTAACACAATCAAGAACGGTAAGAGAGCAACAACAAACGGAGCACCGAAGAAGTACAGTGTGCCACTATAATACGGTACTGTGTTTCCCTCAGCCGCATATCATGTTATCAACCTAAATGAAAGTAAATCGGAATCTGAATCATAAGTGCACAGTGGCCTGGTGGTAAGGTTTGTTTATACGACGCCTTGGGTCGCAGGTTCTAATCTCGTACTGTGCCTCTTTTTTCACACGATTTCCGGTACACTTTCTATAACCGTCCGTCAATACCCGTAGGCCGTGTTAACTACCAGCCATTGAACTAAAGCTTCCAACAAAATTTTTGGTGGCTCTACTTAATTCATAAGCAACCGGGTCGTATGATTTACCGTGGGTTGCATGGTAGTAATTTGTTAAACCAATGAACAAAAGGACTCGAGTCATTGTACATGACATCCGGTTAAAAGAGAAAACTCCGACTAGTTTGAATGCATATCCTTATAACTGCGAAAAACAGAATACTATTACACGTAAGGTGTAAGAATTAAAGCAAAAAGGTTTTATAGAACCTAATACCACGCCAAGATCAGCTCCCGTAGTTCTCGCCAAGAAAAAAAATTGATCCCAGTGATTATTATGCGTGATCCACCAGATTTACGGGAGACTAAATCTTTGAACAGAATCTAACACATATCCAATGCCCCACTGGCACAAAATGGCATTGGCAGGTCAGTTTTACACAGGGGTCAAGACCGCTCACCGCGTTCCGCATACAAATGGGCTTCTACCATTTTAAAGTAATGCCTTTGACCTTAAAAATGCCCCGGCTACTTTTCAATGGTAGGTGAGCGAAGTTATGCGTTGATAAGTCGGTAATTCGTGTATGTGTACTTAAATGATATTGTGGTTTACTCAGTGAGTATGTAGGAACATCTTAACGACATGCAACGAGTCTTGGAACGGTTACAAACACATAAGTTGTCCATGGACACATTTCGACGGGAATTGTAAGTTAGTAAAAAGTTCTTCGTACAACTTTGGTTGACAAACCACAAAATTACTGGGACAGCTGTATTTCGAATATAATTTTTTCAAATGAAAGTTTTCGGAACAAGCTAACAGAGCACTCCCTCTGAACGGACCTTTGCTCGAGAAGCGAAATCACTCGGCGATTGGCTGTTGGACATTATTTTAACGTGTTAACACCCGGACTCACGGAATGAAATCACGAAACAAGAACAAATAACTAAACAGAATAAGGATTACACCGAATCGTTGCCCATAAATTATCAATTTTACACAAAAAAAGGCGAAGTATGACCATAACTTCGATGTGATTACCGAAAATTATAATTTTCGTGGAGGGGAGAACAATCCTTTCAAAATATCGTTTTGTTTTATTGTTTATGACTAATAAAGTTATTCAATTATTTGATTTTCGTGTTGTCTATATTCGAAACAACATAACCTTGACTTCTATTATCGTACACGCGAACATGTCACACGATTTTATGTACTGGCGTACTATGTTATTCAGGCCATTCCAATAGAAACCCCGCGGAATGATAACGGCGCGCCGTTTGATCGTTCTGTAAGTTTATTAAAAAAATAAGGATTTATTATTGAGGTAAAAATAGATCACAATTATGAATATTGTCTAATTAGTGTAGTCTTCGTGAGTATGTGATGAACTGGGTGTTCCAAATCCAAGTTCTATCACGCGGATAAGTGTAATGAAGAGTCAAAATAATAATTATAATGCAACATTCACTGATTGAACCAAGAAGATGGTCAAGTCCCCTTTTATATTTACACTATTCATTAAATATTAATACCATAATATTTTCTTCAATTAAGGTATTTGGCTGTATAATCTTACTTTCTAGTAATTACAATGTTACATATAAATTCCTTAAAACTACAATTTACAAAATAATTATGCGTTCACTAAATTAGTAACAATTGACACAATACCATTTATTAAATACGAAACATAAAATAAATCAGCATTAACCTTTAGGCTTACGTCAATTATTAAAGCAAGACAAAAATTAAAAAAACAGTTTTTAGATGAGAAAAAATTACTTTTAGAATGTTATTAAATTTAAAAACAAATATATCACAAATATTACCTTTGACATGACACTCCATTTCCCCGTGCCCGGGGAGACCACAATAGGGGCATATTTTTGCGACTGGAGGCAGACCAGCAGCTAAACAAAATAATTGAAATTAGCAATAATTATTAGTCTCAATTAAGTATAATGACAAAATTAAACATTATAAATAAATAAAAACTAATTGAAAGTATAACCCAATATTTGCTAACTAAATAATAGGTGGTATACTAGTGAGAATTACACAAAATTATTACCTTTTACGTGACAATAATTTTCTATGTGGCTATTTTGGCCACAATGATTGCAAGCTGAAATTGATAAAAATAGTGTAAATCATTAAAATTTTCAATTAAAGTTTTTTTTTAATCCAAATTTAAGGTAAATTGGGGTAGTTGTAAATGTATTTTAAATGATCAATACACATGATTATATTTTCATGTTATATTTAATGATAGTAACACATATAAGGACCAGACTTTTAAAATAAAATAAAAGCTGATAAATAATCCTGGAGAAAATATAAATTAACAATTACCCCACTCGCCACTATAGTAATAGAACATTATGTAAAATAAATTTTAATAACTTACCACCTCTAAATTTTTTCTTTATTTCATTTTTATTGGGCGGTGGTGGCCCTCTTTTTTTTCTATTTCCACCTCCCCACCACTATTTGTGAATGTGAAATACATCTAGAACAAAATAAGAATAATTAGACATAGGCCCATAGATAATTTATAAGGAGTTTTAATTACATTAACCTCCTTATTTACACTTTTAATTAAAATTCATTAATTAAAAAAATAGATATAACATTTAATGAAATGTGAATCATATTGTTTAGATAAGATAGATTATCATTAGTAATTCAAATAATTGTATTGTTAAATTTTAATTAGGTTAAAAAAATATTTCAGAGATCTATTTATAGCAGTGAAGTTCATTCTAAATATTTTACACAAAAAAATAAATTTTATTTATACATTGGTTCAAAAATTGTTGACCCTCTTATCAATAACGTAACTAAACAGTTCTAGAGGGGGGCTTAGTCTCTTCCCAAAAAATTAGAAAATTATGTATGTTAATAATAACATACATAATTCATGTCAGAATCTGATGTACATAAATAGGATGTCCCATCAAGTTTTGACATGTATAATTTAACTATTTAAAGTTTCGAATTTTTGAGTTAAAGTACATAATACACGAGAGATTACAAACACAGGTAGCTCATTGTTTTTTATGAGATAGCTGTCACAGACACCGAGTGTTTATTGTCAATTTTATAGATATACTTTCACAATAGATATAGACAATCAATAGATATACTTTCTGTATTGCCAGTTGATGTATTTATAAATTCACAACAATGTGCCTTACCTTATCTATTAATAAGAAATACTGTGTATCTGCGAATATCGATATCATAGAAAAACCAATTAGCTACTTGTATTTGTAATCCCTCGTGTATTATATATGTATATTAACTCAAAAATTTGAAACTTTAAATAGTTATATCTTATCAAATAATAAAGTTATATTAAAAATTCATATGCACTTTACTATTAAATTAACTCAAACATTTTATTAAATTCAAAATATGTGTTCTCATTTAAAAAACAAATTTGACACCCTTACAAAGTATAAAGGATGAATTTAAAAAGTATTACATAGTTAATAATTCAAGAATAATGTGTAACTAAAGATTACCAAAAAAAAAATTGTTTAAATTATATTTATTCTGTAAGTAATTGAGTGGGTTATAACGTAATTATAACTAATTACGTCATCTATTGTCCCCGGGGAAAACAATGGGTGCACAGGTGAGACGCATTGGATATAAATAGTGATTTTTTAAAAACTCATCCCAACACGTGGAATAATTCAGCTAATTATAAATATGGCGAGGAAAAAATAAAAAAAATAATTAGGACATAATATCATTTTTAACCTATTTTGTTGGTCTTTAAAAGTTGTATATAAAGCTTATAATAAAAAAATAAACGGTAGCACAGTGGGGTCGAGACACAGTGTAGACGAGGCATAGATGGGACAAGTATAGATGATATCTGACAGTAATTAAAATCACTATCATAAGAAACACTTCGATGCAAATCTGTAGATAGTGTTTCATTTATAGAAATTGGTGGATTATTCCAAAAGCAACATCAACTCTTATTTCTTTGATTATATCCTGATTAGTAGTTCTTTGATTTTAAAATATAATATATCAATAAATACTAATTATAATTATTAAATTTAGTATGAAATTGATATTCAATAATTTAATATTATAATTTATACGGAGAAATTATAAAAATAATTAAGAAGTTATATTTGCTTTACTTTTACGTGTATAATAATTTAAAGGGCTTGATACAATATTTTTCCATAAAAACTCTTTGTTACTATAAATAAATGCACTGGACTACAAGGAACTTTCATCAGAAGCAAAAATATACTTTTCTAAATCAACTTTTCGCGATGTTTTTAAATGTGCAATTAGACTTTTTATATCACTTCTAAGTTTTAATATTATTAAAAAATAATTAAGAACAAAAAAAAATTGTTTTAAATTAATACTGATTTTGATTGTTAATATGTTAAAAATAAGGAAAATGACATATTTAACCTATTTTTTTAATCGTTTAAAGTTGATTTTTGTAAATATTTATAAAAAAAAAAAATTTATTTTACTATAACTTTTAGCTCAATTGGTAAGTGTGAAATTGACATCATTAAATAGAAAATTTTATGAGAATTAAAAAAATTGTATCATTAAGATTAATATGCAGTCAGAAAGTTTTATAATTACTATTTTTTGTAAATTTATCAGAGAAGCTCAACTAGATCTTCAACTAGATACGAATTGTAGTCATTTGACGTATCGTTGAAAAAAGTAGGTCAAGTTAGAGTAGAGAAAATAAATGACAGTCACAAAAAAATATCTTCTCAGCTTTGCATCGAAGCTAAAATCTAAAATATAGTAAAATAATTTTAATATGAATAAGAAATTTCTTCTCGCCAGGGGCGACTACAGTGATGGGATCCTTGATCTTTATTGAAGTTATTGAATCTAAAAGAGATAAAAATCAAAGCAGTTGAACATCTATTTTAATTTAAAAAGAAATAAAAAAAAATTCAAAAAATTCATTGCCATACGCGGGTTGGAACCTAGTACCCCAAGCGTGTAAAACATAAGTTTGACCGATACGGCAACCGTATATCGCTAACGTCGCCTGAAAAAATTGGCTATTTAAGCTAGTTCAAATTTCAAAATTATTTTTCTCGACTCCAAAAAGCAAAAAAATTTATACAAGTTTAACTTTCTATGCTATATAAATTTTTATTTATATAATATTTATAAAAATCTGTACTCCCCTTGTCAGGTATTTTAAAATAAAATAAAATAAAATACAAAACCCAGAATTTTAACACAAAAATATCATAATTTTGTATACGGTAGTCATTTTCACCATGAAAACAAATCTAGAGGTCAAATTTTTTTTTTTAAATTAAAGTATATTACATAAGCTTTAATTTAAGATATATATATAAAAGTATCATTATTTCTGGAAGACTTTCAAAAATTTAATTGAAATGTCCTAATTTCAATAAGCATGTTTAAAGTTTTGACCCCCCTTGTATAAAGGGGTATGATCCGATTTACAAAAAATGTATGTCAGATGAAAAATGAATTTAAAAGAGATGAAGAATTCTGAATGGAAGACATGGGAGATGTCAATTTCTTTCTAGGAATACACATTGATTGGAATCGACCAAAAGGGATAGTTAAGATTCATTAACAACATTATATTAACCAACTATTAAAACAATTTAATTTAAATAATTGTAAGCCTATAGATACTCCTATGGAATATAAATTGTCATTAGAAGAAAATGAACATCAAACAACCAATTAACCTTATAAAGAACTACTTGGAAGTCTAATGTATATAGCTACATACACAAGACCTGATATCATGTACGCAGTTTCATATTTAAGTAGGAATCAAGCAAACCCATCAGATAGACATTGGAATTATCTAAAACGAATACTAAGATATTTAAAAGGTACTGACAAACTTTGTCTTATATATTCCAAGAAAAATTCAGAAGAACTTGTAGGATTTTGTGATGCTGACTACGCTGGAGATTTAGAAGATCGAAAATCAACTACTGGCTATTTATTATAAATTTATGGAAATACTGTCTGTTGGTTAAGTAAAAAGCAACCTACTGTTTCCCTTTCTACTGCCGAAGCTGAATATACAGCATTAGCATCAGCAGTTATTGAAGGTTTATGGTTAAGAGGGCTAATGGAGGAAATGGGATTTCTGCAAGAGAATCCTACAGTCATTTATGAAGACAATCAATCAACAATTCAAATTGTATATGAACCAAGAAAACACCAAAGATTTAAACATATAGATATTAAGTTTTGTTTTATTAAAGAAAGTATTGAGAATAAACAAATTGTAATAAACTATAAAAGTTCTCAGGAACAAGTGGCTGATATTTTAACTAAATCGTTATGTAAAATAACCTTTAGAAATTTAGTTATATTATTAGGTATGGAATAAGAGACTGATATACTTAATTATGCAAGATATTTTATTTAATTTTTTTTTTTAAATAGTTGTATATTTTATTTTGATATTTTAATTTAATTGTAACTACATAAGTTGAGGAGGAATGTTGAAGTTAACAACTTATGTGATAAGAATTCAAATATTGTTTATAAGATTATAAGTTAACCATATTTTCTTTTCTTGCAAGTTAATTATGTTATTACACATGTTATATGTGTCCGTTATGTAATAAAAGATTTCTTTTCATTGTTCTTACTCATTCTTATTTATTTTACAAGTGAATAAATTATAACAGTAAAGACATGAAGCCCCTTATACATAAACAAGGACATATATTTTTTACTTATTAAATAACAGTTATTATATTTGTGATACCAATGTATACCAAATTTGTGGGGGGCCCTGGGCTGCAGCCCATTCAGCTCTTCCCTAAATCCGGCTTTGTAATGGGATAGTTAACACATAGTTTCGGCACTGCCTACTGTAATATTGCTCAAGAATACGTTAAAATTAGAAAATACATCATTCCTGCAATAAAAGAACGAGTCCAAAAAATTACAGTCATCAAAAACGGTTAATTTGGATAACTTCAGATTTTAGCTTCGATGCGAAGCTGACAAGGTATTGGTTTTTTTGTCTGTTACCACTTTTTCTCAGCTCTCACCGAACCGATTACTTTCAATGATACGTCAAAAGATCACAAATCGTATCTAGTCAAAGACATTACCCTCAAAAATTAAAAAAAATTCCCCCGTTCCCCGTAAATGGGGGAAACCTCCAAAAAAATTACAAATTTAAAAATCGCTAATTTTCAAAATTCTCAAAATTTTTTTTACTAAAAATTGCCGTAACTTTTTCAAAAATGAACATATAATAATAATATAATAATATAATTTTTTATATAGATGCATGATATTATTACCTTTCATTTGGTATATTTTTTTCATAAATTTAACCCTGAACCTGCCCACGAGGGGGGATTTAAAATGACAACTTTTTTACAAATAATTAATTTTTTCAACTTAACTTTTGAAAGTGTTCCGGAAGGTCTGACACTT